GAGGAAGGGAGATTAAAGCTTAGACACAACACAGGAGTGAGGGTAGGAATCATCATGTCTTAAGAATAAGAAAATCATATCTATAAAATAGCTCTTATGTCACACTGAGGGCAAGGAGGAGCTACTGCATGGTTTTGGAAACTGATTTATGTTTTAGAAAGGTCCCCACTATAGTGAGAGTGTGAGGGTATTCTAACAGGAGCATGGGCTGGGCCAAATGCTGGTACCCAGGAGGAAGAGATGATGCATGAAAAAGGGTGGTGACCACATTCCCAATGCAGCATGATGGAGAGAAGGAGTTGGATTGGAGAAACTGAAATTGGTGAGAACTGAAAACCAAGTTTGATGGATTAAAGACTAATGTCCAGTTGCTTCCAAGGTACCTAGGTAGACATTGACAATCTTGTCTAAATTAGGAATCCTTCAGATACTTCTGATCCAAGGATGGGATATTCTCTTGGCCCTATCTCTCAAGGAAGGAGCTGCTGACCACAGTTGTGGAAGAAAGTGAACTCATTCTTCCACTCCCTCCCCATGTTGTTCAGTTTTCAAAACCTTTGACTACAGCCTCCTGGATAGTGATGACAAAAACCTAGAAGGAAATTTACAGGCACAAAAGAGATCAATGAAATCTCAAGACTAATATCAAAAGGAAGTGCAGATGAAGCACTCATAAGATGTAGTTACTCCTGGTGGTTTAAACTTTATGTTCTGAGGAGGCTTAGATGAACATGCTTCAACCTTCTCCCTCCTGTTAGGTAGATTATCTTATTTATATGGAGAAGGGGGCTGAGGTTTACAAGTGGAATCAAATGGTAACATAAGTATATAAATCCTGAGCCACTTATCTACAAACCTCACACACACACACACACACACACACACACACACACACACACACACATGCACACTCCCATGTCTCACATACCCGCTCAACCACAGAGACTCAGGTGCTGCCTGGATTGAATGCCTTTTACATAGCAGTGCGCTAATCTAGACTGTCTACACAACTCTAAAGGAAGGAGCCTGGGCCTGAAAAGAGAAGGTTTAATATTCTTTCTTGCGGGCACTTTCTTGTCTTTCTTTGGTTGTGCAAATAGGAAATCGATGCCTTCATCTGGTCTCTTGCTCCCCCCTTAGTTCCAGTTGGCATCAGGAGCAGATTCAGTGGCTGCAAACTTTACCATGCATGTTACTAGGTTTCTTCTGGTGTTGAGGAAATCTGGCTGTTTGACTCAAGAACCTGTATTTTACCTTTCAATTTCTACATGGTTCTGTGGGATGGGCAGGGAGAAAAATGTCAAGGAGAGATTTGTGTTGGAGAGACCAGGTCTTCTGCCCTCTTCCTGAACAATGAAACCTCTCTGCAGCCCTGTGTTGCATATCCATGCCCCTCACTCTTCTCTTACCCTGCTGTGTAAGGTCAAACTGACCTCATGCAGGTGAAGACTGTCACTGATACTACCCAAGCCAGGACTAGACAGTGAGTGAAATGGCAGGCATGAGGCCTTACATAGTGTGGAAGTATGTACCAAGACAAGTGTGCTGATTTCTAGTGATCTCAGATCGCAAAGACCTAATGATCCTCTGCTCTTTTTAAAGAGAGATTGGCATTGATTACCCTGGACAAAAGCCTAGCAAAGACTTCCTAACTCAAAGATTAGTCCCTTAGACAGGCTCTGGGCCTCCTGTGAATATACCCTCCCTCTCCTTGAGCTCCCAGAGTCAAAAAACAATGGACACTATATCACCCTTTCTCAGTCTGTATTTTGAGCGAAGAATTTTCCTGTAAGCATTTTAATCATAGTGCTTGAGGATATAGCTTCCAGGAAATGTGGTTTTAGAAATGAGCATGTAAAAATCAAATACAAAAGGATGTTTGCAGCCATGAATTATGGGAGGCATTGGTTATAGCAGGCATTACAGAGTTTGTGTGTTGTGTACAGGTGAGTGTGTGTATGCTGTCTAGGCATGCATGGTGATTGTGGTGTTTTATTATGGGTGTCTTTTATGTGTATGTTGAGTGTGAATGGATGTGTTTTGGATGTGGTTATTAGTGTGTGTACTGGTTGTTGTGGGCATGTTATAAGTATCATGGGTATTGTGTCATGTATAGGCAAGTTGATGTTTGCATACATTGTGTGTGTTTGTGTGATTGGTGAGTGTTGGGTGTAGGTAAAGTGGGTTGTGTTGGCCGTGTGCCTTGTTACTGCTATGTGTATGCCATATGTATATTTTATGGTGTACCCAATAGTGTATTAAACCTTTAACATACTTTATTCCTACCAGCCATAAAGGATGCCTTACATGGCAAATGATCTCAATAGTCTGGATAAGTCGTGTGGAAACTAAGGAACAGGAAGTTCAACTATCATTCATATTATGTGACTCATAATGAACTAGATTAACTCAGGTCTAGTCAACACCAACCCTAGTGTCTGAGGTAGTGGTTTTCAAATGAGTGTGTATGTCAGAATTCCTGGAGGGTAGATGAACGTTTGAGTGAGTCCTCACCCAGTAGATCTAGGTTAGGACTAGGATCAAAGTTGTTGCTTTCATCACTGAAGCTGAGGATCATGCTGAAAAGCTACCAGTTTAAGATCCTCATTAATTTTCAGATAGAAAGACCTGAGGAGAAGGTTGGAACTAAGGTAGATGGTTTTGGATTATTGAGCACAAATTTCATATTGCACAGTTAGACCCCTGAAAGACCAAAGTGGAAATTTAAGATGGATGTTTTAAAATTTGAGCTTAGCATCTTCATTTAGTGGCATTTGCTAGTTATAATTTATCACATGGCATTAAGAAAAAGGCCCCCGTGTTTGTGTTTACAAATTCCAGAACTCTGACTTTATTAATATGTTCTTGATCATAGCATTGTAACCTGCACTTTCCACAGAAAAAAATCTTAGTATAGAATTCTCCAAGTATTAAATTTTTATGCATATTTATTTCATACAGCTTCATTGTTTCAGAAAACCTGCATATTAGTCCTGGAGCTAGATAAGCAAGGTCTTTGGGATCCTGGGTCGTCACTGTCTCCAGAATGGTAGCAGTGTCTTGTGTGAATCTGAATGTGTCAAACCCTAGGCCTCATTTAACATGCACCAATCGATACTGGCATCATCTCCCCCTCTCCTCCTCCTCCCTTTCCTTCTCCACCTACTCCCCACCCCTGATACATATCTGGCTCCAGGGGTCAGAGATCCAGAGACACTGGGTAATGAAAGACTGGCATCCACAATCAATGGGTCAGATGGCTGAGCCAGCCCTGCAGGTTTGTGATCATCGAGACTGCACCGTGATAAAGAAATAGGAAGCGTGCAGTGCTCTTTTCAGTGTGATATGTGAATCACAGAGAGAGCTTTTTGACCTTTCCTGGACACATCTTAAGATTGGTGTTAAGAGGCCAGGTTTCTGACCCCAGCTGGTTCTATTGTGTTGGACAGGACCATATCTCACTCTGCAGTGCCCAGCACAATGTGTAGGGTAGAAGTTCCAGGTTTTTGTATGAGAATTCAGACTTTCAGAGTTAATATAGATTGTTTGCAAGGATGTGTGGCATGCTCGTGTGATATGCAATCTTCTGCATTTTCAGAAATGTTTCCTGGGAGGGAGCCCTTGTCAGTACAGAGACACACAGTGCAAGCTTACTTAATTATGCATGGGGTACTGCTGTTTTGGGGAGCTGGCCTGGCATGACCCTGGACAGTTGGGCACTGAACCACAGAGAGAAAGAAAGAGAAAGAGAGAAAAAGAGAGAGGCCTTCATAGAAGACCCACATGTCCACATGTGCCAGCCATGAAAGCTTATGTGTCCTCTACTTTTATGTCTTCTGCTCTCAACCTTTCTCTCTTGCTGACAGGTCATATAAGATACCAATAACAGCTGGGTCACAGGTACATTGCAGTAATTACCTTCTATAATCTCCAGAATTCTACTGGGCAGGTGGCATCATCTCCATGACCCATCGTGGTAAACTGAACTTTTAAAAAATGAGGAGAGTTGCCAAAGGATGCAAAATTTTGTCCTGGGTTGCAAGAAAGAATTTCCTTCATCATTTTTCTTTATCTTAAAAACATAAGGATCTTTATCACAAATCATTGTTGTCAAAAAACAGGCTATAGAAAATATTGTATGTAACACTAAGAATGTAACAGGTGTTCTATTGATTTATTTTTTCCTTCTTTCAAATAGCTCACATCTAGCTGATTTTATGTACTCAAAAATCCAGTCTGCCTGGATTCCTCTTCTTGATTTGTTTGCAATATCAGACGTGGACAATTGTTATTTTGTTTCTTTCCAGGTGTCTTGCCCAATTTTTTTAAAAATCAGCTTTTACATCAATCTGTCAAACTGGGTTAGCATCTGGCTGTCACAGCACCCATGTATTCTGCCACCACTTCTGTCACCTCCATCTTCAGTATCTTCCGTATTGATGATGGAGTGACATTCGGTGATTATTACACATTATCAGTGCTGGCTAGCCTTTATTGGGAATTTGCTACATGCCAGGGTGCGCGCAAAATGAGCAGTGGGGCATGCTCACTTCATCTGCTCATCAGTTATCCAACCCCGATGCAGTTACCAGTCCACACCCACAGATGAAAGAACATGGAGGATCAGGGGAGTTAAATGAGTTGCTAAGGTTTCCTGTGAGATAGCAGGTGAATGCCTGGTAGTAATTAGGGGTATGTGGCCTCCATGTCATGGACAGATGAAAGGACATGGACCAGGACTCAGTTCCAGCCATAGCAGGTGCTAACCATATTGCATTCAGTAAGGCACTGTGTGTTTCTGGTTTTTTGCCCTGTAAGAAAAAACATTTGAACACACCATGAACTAGACACAGGTGCTCTACTGGTCCAGTAAGCCACATTTTCTTGTCCATCCAAGCATTGCTAAGTGTCTGGCTATTGATACCAGACTGTCTATGTTTGACTGAAGTCATCATAAGCAATTAATTTATTTCTTTGTTTTTTTTTTTTTTTTTTTTTAGGTAATGAACCGAAAAGATCATGTCTGAAGTACAAGGAACAGTTGAGTTTTCTGTAGAGCTACACAAATTCTATAATGTGGATCTCTTTCAGAGAGGGTGAGTACACTTCAAACTCTCTCTCTCTCTCTCTCTCTCTCTCTCTCTCTCTCTCTCTCTCTCTGTCCATATGTATGTGTGTGTGTGGTCAGGTGAAAAGACATTTGGGATAAATGGAGAGCTTTCCTTATTTTCCTGACCTCCTGACCAATGGAAAATTCAAACTATGAGTTCATCTGAGAGTAAATTATGCATTGACTAAGAAGCTAATTTAGTTTTTCTCCCCCCTCATTTGCTTCTGCAACTCTTCTCATTTGTTGGTCTTTTCATAGCATTTTGAGTTATGGGAAGTGAGGTTTGATTGTGTAGTTCTGGTGAAAACGAATCTTATTTGTAGTATTTGCTGGAGTCATCTCCCCAAGCCACACAGTATAAAGCTCATGACCAGATCTTTCAAAACCGGACACTGTGTTTTCAATCCTAATTAAAATACAATTGCTGCCATTATTTTGATAACTTAATCTGAATTTGGCATTTCAAATGCAGAATGTCTATGATTCCTTATGACAGACTTACACTCCAAAGTTACTGAATAATTAAAAAGTAAAACCCTTACGTACATAAAGTGATGGATCACAGACCAGAGCTACCCATTCACAATGGTTGAAGCACTTTTCCCCACATTACTGGAAAGAAAACCAAGTCTCATAGAAGCTGGAGTTTTGTGTTCAAGTCCGCAGAACCGAAGGATGTCCAGACACCTACCACTTTGCTTTTACTGTGCAAGGACAGCAGCAGCAGCAGCAGCAACAAACCCACAGTGGCTTTGTACAACAACATTGAAATTATACCATGATTCTGGGGCTAATCAGTTTGGCCTGGACTTAGCTTTCGGGGGTAGTCTTTTACACGGTCCTAGGTCTGCCTAGTTTCAGAAAGACACTCTCAGGTCTGTGGCCATTGGATAGGAGGTTGTTGGTTCTTCTGCCTGTGGCTTCCCATCATATGGCAAGCATCTAGAAGTGAGGATTGGAGTTGCACAAACTCCCTTTCCCCCATTTTATATGAAAGTATAAATATCTCTGGTGTACAGGGTGATATTTATATATTTAAACATATATCATCAGATTACAACAACTGGCACCTCCTTGCAGCAAGTATTTGCTACTTCTCAGTATTGGGATCATTCCAAACCTTCTCTTCTAGTAACTTTGAAATGTGCAATTAATTGTTGTCAGGTAATTTTTCCAAATTATAAATATGATCCCAATATTAGAAGTAATTCCTTCTGTCCAGATGAATACTAGCATCCATCGGTTCTTTTCTTCTATGGCCTTTCCTAGGTTCTGGTAACCACTGGGCTTGTGCTGGTTACATTTATGTCAACTTGACACAAGCTAAAGTTGTGAGAAGAGGGAACTCAACTAAGAAAATGCCTCAACTCAGGTCAGAGGAGGTGGCCAGTTCAGTCTACATATTGCTATTTCTAGGAGTCTTAGCTGGGGTCATCCTTGTAGATTTCTGGAAGATTCCCTTGCACCAGGATTTTACCAGCCCCGGAAATGCCTAACCCCCACCTTTACAGTAGTCTCTTTCAGTAGTCTCCTCCTCTGTCCCCTCCCCCAACCTGATCTCTCATGTTCCCATCCACTCCCACCCTCATTCCACTCACAAAATCTCTTCTAATTTCCCCTTCCCCAGGAGATCTGGGTGCCCCCCCTGCCATGAACCCTCCTTGGTACCTAGTCTCTGTGGGTCTGTGGATTATAGCATAGTTATCCTTTATTTTACAGCTAATATCCACTTAAGTGTGAGTACATACCATGCTTGTCTTTATTGGTCTAGGTTACCATACTCAGGGTGATTATTTTTCTAGTTCCATCCATTTGCCTTCAAGTTTCCTGGTGTCCTTGTTTTTAAAAGCTCAGTAACACTCCATTGCATAGATGTACCACATTATCTTTATCCATTCCTTAGTTAGGGACATCTAGATTGTTTCCATGTTCTGGCTATTACAAATAAAATTGCTATGTCTAACCCAATTGTCCTAAGAGAGGCTTCAACCATCAACGGATGGAAACAGATGCAGTTCCACAGCCAAACATTAGGTGGAACTCAGAGAATCCTGTGAAAGTGGGTGGGGGAGCAAGGATTATAGGAGCCAGAGGGGGCCAAGGGTACTACAAGAAAACCCACAAAATCAACTAACCTGGGCTCATAGGAGCTCGAGGAGACACTCTGCATATATGTTACAGTTTTGTAGCTTGGTCGTCTTATGGGACTACTAACAGTGGGAGCAGGATCTGTCTCAGACTCCTTTACTGGCTTTTTGGACCCTACTCCTCGTACTGGGTCACTTTGCCCAGCCTTAATACATGGGGAGGTACTTAGTCTTACTGCAACTTGATATGCCATATTTTATCGATACTCATGGGAGCCCTGTCCTTTCCTAAACAGAAATGGAAGAGTAGTGGATTGAAGGGTCCAAACAGAGGGGAGTGTTGGAGGAGGGACTGAGAGGAGAGGGGGGAGGGGAAACAGCTTGAATATAAATAAATAAATAAATAAATAAATAAATAAATTTATTTTTTAAAAAAGGAGATGCCTCCATAAGAGAGTATTGCAGGCAAGCCTGTAGGGCATCTTCTTAATTAGTGATTGATGGAGAGAGACACCTCTGGGAAGATGGTACTGGGTTCTATACAGCTTTCCATAATTATTGTACTATTCTATAATACTGTCAACATGTGTGAAAGTCCCCTTTGTGAAAGTCCTTGCCAACATTTAAATGTTATTTTGATAATAGTTTTTCTAATTATGGTTAAATGAGATTTCCTTGTATTTTTAATGATCATTTACTTACTAATTAGTAACATTAAGCTGGTTTGTTTTTCAAATACTGTTGGTCATTTGAGTATCTTCTTTTGAGAAACATGTAATTATGTCATTGGCCCAAACCTCTTGGTGCCCATACTTGGCATTTACATAACCTATTTTTAATTTCTCTGCTGGATAAAGGGAATCATAAGACCAGTATAGACTCAGGTCAGACACATAGACAAAAGCTGTCTTTGGGTGGAAGAACTTATGCACAGTTTTATAGTCAGTGAAGTAAGAATGCAGTTTTAGAAATCAATTCCTTTGAGTACCACGATCCTAACTTTTACAATTGTATGAGTCCTATATTTACATAATTTATTCCATACTCTTGCCTTTCCTCTAGCTTCTCCTATGGTACCCAACTTTTCTTCTTTGATATGTACATGTATTAAGGAATATTATATATATTCCTGTGTTGAATCATTATTCATTAGTGCTTGTATGTATATGTATAGGTGTTTATGACTGGCTACTTGGGATTGGATAATCAGTTGTGGGTTCATCCTTGGGGAGGATTAATTCTCCCTCTCTCAACAGTTATGATTGCCTGTTGCTCTAAATCTAGGAGTTGGGCCTTGTGATATTTCCCCACTCACGTTGGCATGTCAGCTGATGTCATTGTGCAGGTCTTGTTTACATGACTTTATTGTTGAGATTTTACAGATGCAACTTCCTTGTCATATAGGGAACACACTATCTCACAGCAGACATTGTTGATCTCTGCCTCTTACAATCTTTCCACCCCTTCTTCAGCAATGTTCCTTGAACGTTAGGCATTGGTCTATTGTAGATTATCAACTAAGGTTAGACATCTCATGCTTGGTTTTTCCCTGTATTTTGACCAGTAGTGGCTTTATGTAATGATCTGTGTCTGCTGCAAAAAGGATTCTTTGATGATGGTGAGAGCTACATTTATCTGTAGGTATAAATACTTAGAATGCAGTTAGAAGGTATACTGGTTTAAGAAAGTGATAGCAGTAGGTTTCTTTTTTAGGATCCATAACTTCACCAACCATGCTGGGTTTATAGTACAAGGTATGTGTCTCTTTTAGAGTGAGCCTTAAGTCTAATTAGACACATATCCCAAGATGTGTGTCACTACTGTACCTTGGGGACATTTTGTCATGTCAGTCATTGTTATGGCTCATAGGTTTTGCAGCTCGATAGGACCATTGATTGCTTTGGCAGCTGGCATAGCTCCTTCAAACCCCTTCTTGCTTGGAATGAAACATAGTAGGGCTGAATCCAGGCTCCACTCTTGCTTCTGTTGGGTTCATTGATGTTTCATTCATACTTTACTCTTCAAATTTTATATTTATGTGAAAAGGAAGCAGTTTTGCTAATGTCATCCTGGCATTAGACACTTTTCTATTTGTTACCAAGTATTCTTTACAGCCAGCTCTAGAAGTAAGTAGCACCATGTGAACTTTTCACACAGACCTCTTTGGAGCTGGGAGTGGAAATATTATAGCCTTAGCACAGCCAAGTGGAATGGGGAACCTAAGATTCTCTAACTCACAATCATTCATTCTATTATATTTCTTAAGCCTGTTGTCAAAGATGTATACTTTCTTCCCAAAGTGTACAAGATAGATGATATTATTTATAGAGATTTTAGCCAAGGGGTTTAAATAAAATGAACTACACTAATAATTAAGCCCTAGATTAAGTCTGAAGTTCTTACTTTGTTCCTATGTCTAACAGTCCTCATTCCTGTTCAACAGCTCAGGTGTCAATAACAATGAAAGATTCTCAGCACAGCGAGGCTGGTGATATGCTCATGGTGCAAGAAACCACAGTTCATGACTATGTGGTTGGACATAGTCACAAACTGCATTCTAGTTTTAACTAAACTAACTCTCACAGAGTTCTAGAATTATGAACTATAGGATGATATTAGTAGTTGAATAATAGCAATACCAGGAAATGTCTGAACATTACTAATGCTACTTCTGGCAAAAGGTGGTTGATGTACACACTGGAATTTAAAATGACAGCCTAATCAGATCCAGTAATAAAGAGGCTGAGTTGGGCTTATTTTAAAGATGATTTGATCTATAAACCTATGAGGAATATTCATCACAGAGCTCATCCTAACTGTAAATTTAGCTGGGGCTATTGACAGTCTTTTATGAAATAGTTACCATTACAAAGCCTTGTAGAACAATACATCCCAGGTA